TGTGCGCAACCACCTTCTCAATCGCCTTCCCCAAAAAGGGGAGGTTGGATACTGGATGAAAGTTGTCCAGTATCGTGGTGTCCAGCGATGGCTTCTTGAGGAGGGAGTGAACCAAAGCCTCCTTTAGAGATGCAGGAACAACCCCCTCACTCAAAGAAGAATTAACCACCGCTAGAGCCCACTCACATGACACCCCCCGGCCACGTTCACAAGCCAGGAGGGGCATGGGTCTGAAGAGCAGGTGGCCGAGCTCACAGTCCTGAGGACCCTGTCCACTTCCAGGCCCAACAGGTTTTGTCCCAAGATTAGGTCTTGATACCCCAAAAAGAAAAAAAGGGCCTGCCCCACGTTCAGAACCTCTCATCACCCACGTACCCACCATGCTCTTCCTTTGGTGGTGCAACTTTCTCAGCTTTACATCATCAGTAACCAATCATGCTTTTCATTCCTTTCCCATGCTTAAAGTACATATTCAAAACAAGCAGAGCCTCTTCTAAGCACGACCCCCATTCCCGTCCTGTTTGCTCTCACTTGGGTCTCACTCGTCTGTTCATGTCCTCTGCCAGAGAAATCTTTTCCCAGGGTCTCCGACATTCAGAACGCCACCTGGTTTCCCCCCAAATGTTTGCTTGTTTCTTTCGTTATCCATCTTCACTGGAGCACAATATGCAACCTGCACATTTCTACAGTATCGATAACAACCTAGAGGACATCAGTTAATATTTTCCTGAGCGTTATTCTTTCATAATGAAACCAGGACTTCTACTTTCAGGCCTGTTTGTCAGCTCACAAGGTTGGACCATCTTCGTTCAGCTCTACTGCATCTTTCCACTCCTGTTAGTGCCACAGACATGCAACATATCTATTTCACTTTCCTCCACGTCCTTAGTTAATTCGTGCTCTTTACCATTTTCTCCTCACACACTCCAAGCCAGTCTTCTGCGTACCAGATTCATCACCAGATGGGCCCGTAGACTGTGACCTCTGCTGCCCAGACCTCTGGCTTTCATCCATGGAGGTGTGAGAGGATGTCAGTGTGTTGCCAGCCTTCAGGACAGGCTACCCCTCCGGATGGAGGGTAGGAGCAGATGATGTGGTCCCCAGGCAATGAGGCTCCTGGGAAGGCAACCGCCAAACTCTGCAGCTGCCTAAGGGGTGTTTCTCCCTTCTCCATTGGCATCCTACCAGCTGCCACCCTACACAAAACCCTCCCTTCCAGCTGACAGGTGGGCACTCTGGCAAGCTCGTCCCCCAGTCCCCACTCTCTGCCCTCAGCAGCCGCTGCATGGGGAGTGCCGTAGTGCCTGTCATGAAAGACTTGATGTTTTTGTTCAGTAGCAGAATGGTTAAATGCCAGCTCCTTCACCCAGTGAAATTGAGACCTGGCAGAATCAGGACAGAGAAAAGGAAATGCTGTTTTACACAATGCTTAATTCAACTTTGGAATTCGCTAGTACGAGATGTGGTGCTGACTAGCAGCTTGGCTGACTTCAAAAGAGGGTTGGACTGGGGGCCCTCTGCTCGGAGGCGAGCAGGCTTCCTCGTGCAGTTGGTGGGTCACTGGGAGAACAGGCTGCTGGCTGAGATGGGCCAAGGGTCCCACCCAGCAGGGCACGCCCTCTGTTCTTTGGTTCTTCTTCTTCCCGTTCTAGCTGGCTCAGGTGAGAAGGAGAACTGTAAAACCATTGTCCTTTTTTCCCCAGTTCTCCAAAGATCTGACTCCAGAGCGGAAGGCAGTTGGCACTGGCTTTCCTGGCATGGAGGGGGAAAGAAGCAGGGGACTCCACCATTCTGGTTTGGGTGGAAGACCTGCCTACCACTGGCCGAAATGGAGAAAGCAGTTGAGATCCAGAAAAGGATTTCTTAAGCTGGCTTCATTTCCACCTAGTTTACCATGGGATCCTAGCAGCTGAAGGCTGCAGAGTGGAAAAGCCCTTGTTCCTGTGCTCTGCTTTCCATCAGGGCAGTGTCAGTCAATTTGGGCACATTTTGCCAAGTATGGCAGAAGCCCAATCAAAGCCTAGTTTCACCCCAAGCACGTGCACCCAGTTCTAAATGGGGATCCCTAATCCAAGGCTCCTTTGCAAAGCAGCATGACATGACCTGCATCTGTGTACAGACACACAGTTAGGACATTTTGTCCTTTACCAATGTAGCTGCATTTGGTCATAAGCCACTCTGAATGCACCCGTGGAAAGCAATATGAAATAATAAACTAGGTGGTTTTCTTCCCAATCAGCTGGAGGGGAGCTTCAGACTGGAAGGACCAAGGCTCTGATGTGGGACCCAGTTACTTCATGTAGCCCCTTGAAAGGCCAAAAAGATATCAGCTAATCTCCCCCCCCCCCCCCCCCCACGCATCAGCACCAGTGCTTCAGATGTATTAGAAGTAGAGCTGGGCTTGATCCACTTAGGATTCCTTGCATGTAAGATATTCTTTGGTTGTTAGCTGACTTGGCTGTAGGACAAGACTCAGGACTGGCCCCATGTCGGTCCTTCCTTTTCCTTATTCTATCCTGGCAAAGTTAGGAAGGTTCTCTTTCCATTCTTCTCTGCTGGAACTACATAGGCAGTTGTGCTCATGCAAAACGTGCTTCATCAGATCCAAGAGCAAAGGGCTGCATTTGCAGAACATAGGAGTTAACTTCGGTGCCTCTGTGTATATGTGTGCATGCATGGATGTGTGCTGGTGACCATGTTGCAAAGTCCTAACCCATATGATTAGTTTGTGGTTCGCTGTACTATATGAAATCAGAAAACGGGATCAGTAGTTGTGTGAATATCTAGCCCTCTAAGCCAGGTAGGAATACAAGTTCCTCTTAGACTGAGATTGTTTAATCCACATAATTGGCAGGGGCTGGAAAACCCACTGTTTGGTGGTCTTGGAACCTTGGCATTCAATCTCAACGCAAGTTTATTTGCTGCCTCTGTTTGCACCTTCTAAGAATTTAAGGCGTGCCCATCTGAATTACTCCTCTCAAGAACCCCCTGGGACTTGTCTCACCAAGTCGCCAGAGAACCTGGCGGAGGAGCTGGCCCTCGAGGCCACCCACAGACAAGGACACGAGTGTGTCTCCCATGGCCTGGAATTCCACCGAGGGGCGATCGCTGTGCATCCTACGCCTTCTGGTGATTAAGTCCACAAGTTAATTATAGATGGTAGGACGCACTTCGTTTTGTACAACTTGCAACTTCTTTATTTGGTGTTTCTTGTTCTTTTCATGAGAGAGAGAGAGAGGATGGGAAAATGAATCTGTTTCCTGGCTCTCTGCATGCTTGTCTGAGCCTTGATGGTTTTCACTGGTCATCTCTCTTTTTTCCTAAACTGAACAGCCTCAGGGATCACCCCTTGCAGCGCTGTTTCCAGAACCATCACCTAGGGGACGGTGGGGGGGGTGACAGAGGGATGCTTTTCTGTGTGCACGTGTGTGTGCAAATGGGCATAAGTGTGAGAGAAGGGACAGCCAGATAGAGAGGAAGATGACAGAGAAAGCCTAAAACCCAAGATGCGTCTGGGGTCTTAGTCTGAAGATCGCGTATCCAGTTTTGTTGTCTATGGATCACACCGTTCAACACCTGTGTGCCCTTTTCCCCCCCTCCCATACCCACATGTACATCTAAAGTCACTGGGTTTCGCTTCCTTTGGCGCTGATCTCCTGAGGTAGGGAGATCCTATTTGTTTTATTCATTCATTCATTCATTCAATTTATATAGCCGCCCATCTCAGACCAGTGACTCTGGGCGACTAACGACATTAAAACAAAACCCTAGTTGGCTGCAGGCTCGGGAGCAGGCAGGGCCTTTCCCCATGGCCCCTGTGGCCCCACTTGCTCTGCAGCCACGGTGACAGCGGCCCTGCTTGCCCTAGATTGCTGCCTGCCCCGCTCAACTTCCTGGACGTGTCGGGTGCTCCTTCTCCCCCCGCCCACTGGCATGAAGGAAAAGCTGGGGCTGTGGGGGCGCTTTGGCTGGTCTCCGAGAGAGGCTGGCAGTCTCCCCTTGCCCCTCTCCAGGGACGGTATCGGTGGCCGACCCGGAAGGCCTGGACTTCGAACTGCAGCCCCGCTTGCGCCTAGTGTTACAAGCCGAGTCCACCGCGTCCTTTGGCTTCATGGCCGTCACCATCAACCTGCAGGACGTGAACGACAACCAGCCACGTTTCCAGCTGCAGAACTACGTGGCTTTTGTTGGGGAGGCGCAGGGCTACGGCTTGCCTGTCATCCAGGTACTCTGGCGAAAGCAAGGCAACCCCAGCCCGCCCAGCTGTACTGCGCTGGTCCTGGGGGCTCGGGTGACGGGGAAGAGGGCGCATCCTTTCGGGCGGAGGTGGTCATGCTTCTCTGACTGCAGGTTGTGGCCAATGATTTGGATCAGGGCCCCAACGGCCAGGTGATCTACAGGATCAACCAGACGCAGCCAATGGACGGGCTCTACCGCATCAATGCCCAGACGGGAGCCATCACCACAGCAGCCATCCTGGACAGGGAGATCTGGGCCCAGACACGGTGAGCCAGCCCCGCTTTCCCCACTCACCCCCAGCAATTCTCCAGAGAACCAGCCGGCCAGCAGACCCCGCAGCTCCTAAGGCTCGACTGTCTGGCAGCGGACGGTCTAAGGCTTAACATGGTGGTCAGCTGAGCGTCCAGTGTGTGGGGTGAGCCCACTAACCTAGTCAGTATTCGGGTAAGTGAGGGTCAGCGGTGAGTCATACTGCGCTCCCCTGATCAACCAAGCTGTGCTGCGAGCCACGTCCCGCCGACTCGGGAGTGCTGGGCTTCAAGCTCCGCCCAGCCCACCCTCCAAGGAAACAAGGTGGAGCTGTAAAAGGTGCTCCACTCCCAAACTCATTGCCATGTTCAGGTTGCCTGGCACATGCTCGCAAATTACACACAGCTGCCAAGCCTCGCTGCCTCTAGACACCCGGGGAAGGGCCACGGACTTCATGAAACCTTGCAAGAACTCTGCGGGCACAAAGCTCATGGGGGGCCAGCCAGGACTGGAGGACAGGGCAGAGAGCCAGCCTGCTCCCAGGTAGCAGCTCTTTACCTGGTTAGTGTGCTGGGGGATCCAGATCCAAAGAAAGTCACTCGGATTGAGTTGGTGCCCGACTTGGTAAATGCTGTGGGTGAACGCAGCTGTTGACACCTACCTGAAAAAATAGTGGGGGGAGGAGGTGGTGGACACAGTCCTTTCCCTGGAATTGCTCCCTAGGCAGATGTGGGCTGGGCCTGCCAGTCCGCAAAAGCTCTGAGACAGCCCTGTTCCCCACAGGCTGGTGCTGACTGCAACGGACAGAGGACACCCTCCCCTCGTGGGCTCAGCCACGCTCACGGTGGTGGTGATGGACCTCAATGACAATAGTCCCACCATCCCTGCGCCCTGGGAGGTGCGGGTAGCAGAGAGTAAGTGGTGGGAAGGGAAGAGGCCTTCCTGGGGGTCCCCGGGTGGTTACTGGAAGGCTCCTTTTCCACTGGAGACCCCCTTTGGGCCCCCCTGCTTCCCAGGAGGGGGCTTACCGAGTCCCTTTGCAGGCCCTAAGTCCCCCTGTTGAGTTCTGGCGGGCTGGGGCTGCTCAACCAGCCCTCATCTCAACAGGCAGCTGTCTCCAGGCTGGGAGGTAGCCTGACGGTTCCTTGTTCTTCCCCTATCGCCTCCCCCAGATACCTTGCTGGGCACCGAGATCACCATGGTGACCGGCAACGATGTGGACTGTGGACCGCAGCTCCTCTACACGCTCCTCCTGGACAGCGGCACCACAGGGACCTTCAGCATCCTGCCCTACGGGGGCCGCATTACACTGACAGGGCCCCTGGACTACGAGCAGCGAAGCCAATACACCCTCACGGTGCGCACTTCGGACTCCCAGCACGAGGCAGAGGCCAACCTCACGGTGCTTGTGGAGGATGTGAACGACAACGCCCCCGCCTTTGCCCAGGCGCTCTATCAGGTACCAAGCCCCTCTCTAGCCCACCTTCCCATCCCTCTGTGTCCACACACCCCTTGTCCAGTGTGGCCCTGCAGAGGCAGGGGCCCAGGCGGCCCTCTCCTCCTCCAAAGAGAAGAGAGGACACGGGCTAGTGCCTTCTACAGGAAAGACAGAAGAAGGGCAGAGACCCAGACTCCCCTTTCCTTTGCAAAGCGTGTGGAGGGATGGAGGCAGGCGTTTTTCTGTGCTCTCCACTAATGGGAGTGGAGTCTCCAAAGCAAAGTAGCACAACAATAGGACCGGTAGCGGACAAATAGGTGAGAGAAGTGGGGCGTGGGGCTTGGGGCTTGGGATAGCCTCCAAATTGGTCTCAAGGGTCTAGGGAGCATCCCATCCTGCACAAGACGGTCCATCTCTTTCTGCCCCCATTGGCAGCTCTTTGAGAGGAGAGCCCCGGAGATCCCTGGGTGGCAAGGGGTCTGTCTGCACCAGCGAGATTGCCACAGCTGTTCCACAGGTGATGCACACCTGATGTCCAGCAAATGCCAGGAAGTCACAGCTGTGTGTCCTCCTGCCTCCTGCAGGTGCTCGTCCCAGAACAAGCCCCTGCCGGCACGCCCCTCTTGACTCTCAGTGCCACAGACCTGGACTCGGGCACCAACGGAGAAGTCATCTATCAGCTGCTCACACCAAGTGACATTGTTGCCATCCACGCAAGCAACGGTACGTGGTCAGGGAGACCACATGGAGATTTGGGAGAAAGGAATTGATTTTCTGCCAGTGGGGTGAGCCCTAGCTTTCCTCTTGTTCCGTTGGGTTGTGCCAGGGCTGAGGGCATGGGGCCGTGTGGCGTGCTGTTAGGACGCCTCCTTATCAGGCTTTGACCCTGCCCCATTCTGCCGAGGTCTTCCTCCTCTCCCAGCGCCAACTGTTCCTTCTGTCGTCTCACAGGAACCTTGTTCACCACCCAGCATCTGGTGCTGGAGCTGGGACGTCCCACGCTGGATCTAGTGGTGGAAGCCAGTGATAAGGGCTTCCCCAGCCTCTCAGCCTGGGTCTCTGTGCAGATCCAAATCCTGGATGTGAATGACCACGGGCCCCAGTTCCTGAAGCCGCAGTACAACGCCTCTGTGACAGAAGACCTGCGTCCAGGAACTATCCTGCTAACCCTGGAAGCCACAGATGCCGACGTGACTCGGGACAACGCAGCCCTGGACTATACTATTGTGAGTGGGAACAGTGGTCATGCTTTCCAACTGGAGGGTCGTGTCGGTGGGGCCAGCGCCTTGGTCCTGATCGAACCACTTGACTTTGAGGCTGTGGCCCTCTACAACCTAACCGTGGCGGTGGCTGACCGAGGAGTGCCACAGCACAGCGCTGTAGTGCCCGTTGTCCTCACTGTGCTGGACGTCAACGATAATCCGCCAGTCTTTGGGCGCTCTGCTTATCACATGGCGGTGAGTGAGAGCACCGTGCCCGGGACGGAGCTGCTGCGCGTGGCAGCCCATGACCCCGACTTGGGCGCTCACGGGCAAGTGCACTACAGCATCAGCTCGGGCGACCCTGGTGGGCTCTTCCAGCTGCATCCAACCTCTGGAGCGCTTCGCCTCATCCAGGCCCTGGACTGCGAGAAGCGAACCCAGCACACCCTGGTGATTCAGGCCTCGGACGGAGCAGGGGGCCACTTTGCACTAGCGTCTGTGGCAGTGGAGGTGAAGGATGTGAACGACAACCTTCCCTACTTTCCGATAGAAGTGCTGAGCACCAGCCTAAGGGAGAACCTGCCTCCCGGGAGCCTGGCTACCACGGTCCGTGCTGTGGACCCTGATGTCGGGGTCTTCGGGGAGCTGCGTTACACCCTTCTGCAGGCAGAGGATTGGGGGGCCTTTGGCATCAACGGCAGCTCCGGAGAGCTACATTCTCGCCTGCCTTTTGACTACGAGCGCACCAAGGCTTTCCAGCTGGTGGTGCAGGCCACAGATACTGGCAACGGCTCTGCGACAGTCACGGTGCGTGTCCTGATCACTGGCGAGGATGAGTATGACCCTGTCTTCCTTAGCTCAAGCTTCCACTTTGGTGTCCCTGAGGGGGCACGGCGGGGTCAGAGTATAGGGCAGGTGAGTGCCACGGATGAGGACGAGGGCCCAGATGGTGTGGTGCTCTATGCCCTGGCCAAGCCCTCCCCTTTCTTCGAGATCAACCAAACCAGTGGCTTCCTGTACCTGCGGATGGACAGCCAGGCGCCCTCCGGGGGTCCTAGCAGACCAGAACCCCGGCAGATGGTCCTGGAAGTACAAGCCCACGGCCCCCTGCGTGCCTCTCGCTCAGCCTGCGCTCAGGTCACCATCGATGTTACCCACACTGCCTTTGGCCTGGTGCCCGACCTCAACTTGCTGCTGGTGATAGCTGTGGCTGCCTCGCTTGGTGTGGTGGTGGTCCTGGCCGCTGTGGCCATTGGGCTTGCCTTCCTCCGATCGCAGCACGGCCGTGGCCACAAGGAGGCCAATTTGGCACACGTGCAGAGTGGCTCTCTGCAGAAATTGGGCCACGCTGAACCAGCCCTGCCTGGGGGGGACTGTCTGTACCACGAGGCGCTGCCTGGCTACGGCACAGATTCTGGAGGGCCCTACGCCACAAGAGGGGGCTCGCTGGACCCATCCCACTCCAGTGGGCGAGGCTCGGCCGAAGCTGCAGAGGATGACGAGATCCGCATGATCAACGAGTGCCCTCGCGTGTCCAGCGTCACCTCTTCCCTGCAGGAGCATCTCGTGGCCCGTGGGCCCGATTCCGGCATTCAGACAGATGCTGACCGCCTCTCTGACATCTCCTGTGAGCCAACCACGCTCGATGCCACCCACTGGTTCAAAAACAGGAAGGGGCCGAGCCTGTTGCTCCCCGGACAGCCCCCGCAGCTCTACCGGGACGATGGGAACAGCAGTGGGGCCTACCTGGGCGCAGGCTGCGGCCTCAGTGTCTCCTCCCACAAGGACTATTCCTTTCCTGAGGATGGGAAGCCCTGCGTGGACGGCTCCCTGACAGCCATCGTGGCGAGCGACGAGGAGCTGCGGGGCAGCTACAACTGGGACTATCTCCTCAACTGGTGTCCCCAGTTCCAGCCCCTGGCCAGCGTCTTCACAGAGATTGCCCGCCTGAAGGACGAGAGCTCCCTGCGCAGGCCCTTCCCTGCCAAGCCCAAGCCCCGCATTGACCCCCCCCCTCTCATCACTTCGGTGGCTCATCCTGGGGCAAAGTCAGTGCCCCCCAAGCCTGCGGTCGGCCGAGCTTTCCCCCACTTGTCCTCCCTCCGGCGGTCCCCCATCAGCCACGAGGGCTCCCTGTCCTCAGCTGCCATGTCTCCCAGCTTTTCCCCCTCCCTCTCCCCTCTGGCCGCCCGCTCTCCTGTGGTTTCGCCCTTTGGGGTCTCCCAGGGCCCATCTGCGTCATCCACCATCAGCATCGAGCACTCCTCGGAGGCCCCTGAAGAGGCGGAGCTCCGCATTTAGGGCCCGCCCAGGACTCTCCCTCGCCACAAGCTGGGCGCTGGAGCCGGACCAGTGGCCCCTTCTGGGGGAGGTTGGCATTGTCTCAGCTGGCCCAGCCCGGCCCAGCCCCGCCCTGCCCCGCCCTTCCCCGCCCTGCCCCGCCCTT